CACATTTCTGGACGGAATAACTTATCAATTTCATATGATTTCCAGCTTTGCAAATTCTCTTGCTCTTCATAACCTATATTTATTATATCCAAATAATGGATTTATATATTTCATGACAAATTCAGGTATCTGCCATTGTAAACCAAGGCTATATCAAATATATTCTTAATTTATGTTATTGTTTGATTCTTTCCTGGAACTTTAACCCAAATGTTGGTCATAAGGAAAATATTAACTGGAATCAGTAACAGTTACAAGACGTCCATCACTCTTGTACTTCAGGAATGGAGAAATTTATTTTCTCGTATTTCTCGTAATAGAAGCTTAATGGCATAATTATAGTCTTGCACGGTATCCAGTATGCATTAAATTTCTTCATCCGCACATGTTAGAATATCTCGATGGTTACACAAAATTTAATAAGAAAAAATATACAGCTGTATGAGGTTCCTCATGTTAGTCTACAGAAGTGCCTCCAAAGTGAAAGTTACATGGCATTTTCTGGCTGAAATAGCTATCGACTGAACCTAATCAAACATGAAGAAGCAAAATAACTACGAAAAACAAAGTGACCATTGCAAATATTGTGTTAGAAAGTGTAGCCAGTGTAAGTAATGCACAAGATGACCAATGAATTAACTGTGAGATCCAGTCTTATGTACGCAATTAAAGAAGCAACACGCTCACCAGTGAAACACAAGAATGCCAATAATACGAACAGATATGGCAAATCAACAACAGTAAAACATTTTAAATGCGATAATTCACTCTTGTACAAGCAAATGTTTCCTCGCAACACTCAGGGACGCGGGAGAAGTTCATTAATAGTTGAACAGGAAAAAACTATTCAGTAATTTTAGGCTAGTCAAGAGTCATTCAGGAACACTTGGATATGCAAGAACTTAATAATAACACCTGACAAGCAAAAATCCTTTAAGAAACATTCGGACACAAGATAGCCATTCAGTCCAGCAACACAAAAAACGTTTAGCAAGACCTGTGTCACAGTGTTCAGATTCACAAGACTTATTTAGAAACACTCGGAGGCAGTAATGTGAATACAGTTGTAAATATAAATGCACAGTGAGAACTCAAAGGAAGAGTATTTGATACTGTTGTATAAAGCTTTTCGTATTAAATACAATTATGACGTGCAATTGTAAATAGAAATTATATCATGTGTAACTGTGGAATGCGGTAACACAGAAAAATATCGTATGAAGTGTAGTTGTGAAGTACGAGACGTCGATAATAGTAGAAAGGCAACTCAGTAATTACAAGTTTTAAGGAAATCGACCTGAAAGTTTACCTCGTGGGCCAAATTTACAACTGTCGATTTCGCCAGCAGGAATTGAATATGATTATTACGGGAATGTAACCGATTATTTGGAAAAATAAATTATTATGAAGCACACAACCTGCATGGAGTAATGACATATAATTAATTACCAGCTATGCATACTGTACTGCGTTATTGTTTGCCTGGCTGTAAAACACTGCAAATGTTCGATAAATATCGAGATGAACATGAAAATGTTATATTATACCGTCAAGTTGATAAGTAAGAAACTATGTGAATGAAATGAATTCTGTAAGATTGGCTTTACAGCAATTTTCTTTTTTACTACACTTGTTGGCAATACCTGTCATGAGACATTTTATCTGCAGAAGGTTGTCCAAACAGTGTTGACAGCTAAAATGTCCCAGAAGTGACGCGTAATGCGACCACTGTCAAGGGCAGGTTAATATTTCCTCTTATTAAAATTAAAAATAACAAAAATTGAGCTAATGATAAAAGAAATTCTTGTATTAAAATAAATAACAACGGTGCTATAAACTACAGCATTGTAAAGCTAATAAGATCCTTCGAGAATATTGTTTACAAAATAAAACCCGTAACGAATGTTTCTTGAAGAAACATTAGCTACAAATATTGGGAAATATTCAGTTGGTGTTAGTAAGTCCACTGACAGGAGTTTCAAACTGATACTCCATAAAGACGTTGTTTGAAGATTACACCTGAACCAAGACAGTAAAAACAATTTTTTAAAACTGCAACCAAAGAAGGATCCACGTAAAGACAGACTGCGGTGGCTATACCTAAATATGAATAGGTTTTAATTTGCAGTTTGAAGCTCAAATTAGATTCTTTCCCCATCTCTATTGAAGATCCCCTCAACGGAGGTTCCTTGACGCTGGTGAGGGGCTCTTGATTTAGGGAATTGGATCCGTGCTCCAGTTCCCTGAACTGAGCCTGAATACCTTCCATACCCTCCCCCCCAGGCGCTATATAATCCAACTGGTTTAGCTCTCTCCCATGATTATAATAATTAATAATAATAATAATAATAATAATAATAATAATAATAATAATAATAATAATGTGTGACAGGTTTTTAGATGAATGGTTCAGAGAACCGACATGTTGATAAATTAGACACATGTGCAACTCTTGGGTATCTTTATTGAGGAAACGTTTCGCCACACAGTGGCTTCATCAGTCCATACGTAGGAGAAACTTGAAGAACAGGAGGAGAATGAGGTAATCAGTCCCTCAACCTCGACTCAAGGTTGAGGGACTGATTACCTCATTCTCCTCCTGTTCTTCAAGTTTCTCCTACGTATGGACTGATGAAGCCACTGTGTGGCGAAACGTTTCCTCAATAAAGATACCCAAGAGTTGCACATGTGTCTAATTTATCAATAATAATAATAATATATATTTGTAAATGGTCCTGAGAGTAATCATAGTAAGGAGGATTATAAGCCTAATTAAATCTAATGACATTGTTTTAGTAAAATACCTTGCTGCTATTAATATATATTTACTTTTGAGTGATTAGGACATGTCTATGGGCCAGTTTAAAAAACAAAAACTGAGGTTACTAGATTCTCAAAACAATTATCAAAGATTTTATTTGATTCCGAGAGGGATAACAACAACAGTCAAACTGAAAGAAATCAATGTTGATAAACGAATAAAGTACAAATAAAGTTTCAACAGAACCACATCAGCAAAGAAGCAACTAAAAGAGCGCTAAACTCGTAGGGTTAAACACTTCATGCGGAGGGGGGAGGGGGATGGAAGAAATTCATCTGGCTCAATTCAGGGAACTGGAGCGCAGATCCAATTGCCTAGATCAAGAGTCCCTCACCAGCGTCAAGGAACCTCCCTTGTGGGGTTTATGTTGACAAGAAAACAAGTCGCAAGGTAAACACTCCAGCAAAGACAGTGTTAAACGTTGACACAATATATTATCAGGGGAACACTGTAAAGTAACAATCCGTAATAGTAGATGGCGCTGAAAAAACCTCACCTGTATGAGTAATATAATGGAGAATAATAAAAACCATCCATACATACATCCTGTAAAATATATACAAACGTATATGGTTTTACTTTTTCCTTACAGCTAATATGTAATGTTTCCAGAGACCCCCTGTGTAATCTATACTTACACAGTGAACTGTATCTAATTAGATAATCAGATCAATGACAGACATTAAATTTAAAGATTTAATAAGTTATTTCACTGGATGTTTAAACCATTTATCACATGAATAAGCATATAATATTTCACGAAACACAGATACATAACCAGTGTTTACTACTACATTATTGCTTTTTGTAATAAAGATAACTATTATTGAATTTTTGCCTAAATGAAACTAAATATTATATCTCTCCTTTTGGTTTCCTGAAATTGTCGGCTCCATAAATCCATCGGTAAAGACTGAGAAGAATAAGTTGAATGATGTTTCGTTATTTACATTGTAACAACTTCCTGGATTTGTAAAAAAAATTTGTATAAAAGAACACAGCCGACTGGTAGCATATTAGTGTCAAAATATATACATGAGTGAATAAGATAACCCGACGGTAGTCTCTGTAGGTTGTTCATTTTCATCATTGTCATTCTCATTTTCACCATTTCTTTGCGAAAATTTACTCTTTAATTAAGAGTTCAAATCGGACCGAAACTCCGTCATAAGTTTTCTTCTCTGCGCGTTATTGTGCCTTTTTATTCTTTTTTTCATTCTTTTTATTCATTTAAGTCCCTGGCTGTCCCCTTTTCATCGCTGTCAGACGTAGGAAACGACATGAACACGTTTATGACTGGCCACACACAACTTACACATGGATACCATATGACAATATTCTTGGTCCCTCGATGGGAGAACTGACAGGTAACTTCTTGATTCGCTGGTACTCTCCCGGCCCGGGCCTTTTCCAAGTGGTGGCCCGGCCTTGGCTCCCTTTCTGGGGAGTATCTCAGGCCAATGTCTGCCAAGGGAGGAGATACAAGTACCTCCTCATCGTTGGGACCAACTGTCCCCAGGCCTAGCTACATTCCCCGCCCTCACGGGGCTCGTAGGGAGAAGCTAGGCCTCCCTGGTCTGCCATCCCCGCCCCAAGGGGGCGAATGGGAATGGCAGTCTTGTGAGCTACAAGCTCTGGCTCAGGCACCTACCCTGCCCTAGAAGAGCTGGGCATGGTGTCGATGGACAGGTAACTTTAACAATCAACTACGTATTAATATACTATTTTAACTATTAGGGAGCCTAAAGGATTTAAACTCGACATCTCTGACGCCTGAACGTTTCGTTCTGCTTTATGAAAACTCAGCCCTTGATTTACAATCCATCTATTACTTTTTTTTTTTCAGAAATTATCGTATTCGATTTCTGAGCTGATTTAGTGACTGTATTGCTAAAAGTAATATAAATTTCACTCACTGATGCATACTTATAACAGTTGTAGAGTTAAGTGATGTTATTCTTTCATTCTAAGTGACGTTTGTTTAATAAATCTTTCACTCAGTTCTGTTACTTTTCTACTGAAAGTATTTATTGTTCTTATCACTGAAACATCTCTTTGTAATCATATTACTGACAGTATACATTACTAATAATTTATTAGCGGGCCATGCTCACTAGTGACGTCACCTCTAGCTGCTACACCTCACTTCTGCTCCTGTATAAAGTTTGGCCACATGCCTCTTCTCTACGATTGAGGGACTCTCCAACCCTTACCATGACTGAGGGGACTAATCACCTCGAAATCACTATATTTGCAGAGTCTCCAACTATATCTTCGCCTGTTAGGCAAAAGGACACAAACAAGTGCAACTAATGTGATATTTTACTGTGGCAACGTTTCGCTCTCCAGAACTTTATCAAGCCGTTACCGACTAAACAGGTGAAAAAATTTTGGTAATAAAGGTACCCAAGCTTTGCACATGTCATTTCTCATCTCTATGTAATGCTCACAATCGTGTCATGGGCAAAAGCTGCGAAATAAGCAGTTATTGAGTAACACTAAGAAACGCAAGCTCAGCAACACTCGGACACAGATATGTTGCGAAGCAACACCCCATACAACCAGATCGTACAGAAATGTGGCTGAGTGAGGTGGTGATCGTTGTCCATGTGACCCTGAATGAATCTAACTATGACATGATAATGAGGCGTGGGTAGGGAAGGAACACTAGCTATAGAAGACGAGATTGAAAGCTAGCTGATGACATGATACAAGGCTAACCCCTTTTGGAGAGAGCGCAGCTATATAAAGACAGCGCCGCGTACGATTCACATCACACTCCGCCATGAGGGTCCTGGTGAGTGCTTCATGTGGCTTCTGTAACATCTCTCATTTGAATTGTAGTGCTTCCCACTACTGCAAAATAATACAAGACTTCCAGTATTGTTGACGCGTCTGGTACAGTGAGAGTGGTGCGCGTGAAGAAAAGTGCATGGCATACCCAGTGTGCTATGACGTTACTGGCATGTGACCTTATAAAGTGCGAGATAAAGTTACGAGGCTCATTCACCCAGCTGCATAGTGTAAAATGTTCTCGATAGCAGCACTGTAGTGAAAGACAAATTTAACTTAGTGCATCAATTGTGATATTACTCATTATGTTTACAAATTAAATTACACTCAACATCTCTTAAACGCGTTTCAAAATAATGTTTATCTAATGTCCACTCCATGTCTATCAACTGATTCTAAGATTTCACACTTTGATAAATTAGACACATGTGCAACTCTTGGGTTTCCTCAATAAAGATACCCAAGTGCTGAACATGTGTCTAATTTATCAACATGTCGGTTCTCTGAACCATTCATCTACATTTCACACTTTTCTTAATGTAACAATTTTTGTATTATAACAACGCTGGAACTGATAGGGTGTTCAGGTTACATGATAACATTATGTTAATAATAACATTATGTTAATAGTACACAATGTGAGTTTACGGCATTTCATTTTAAAGTCTTTTGTCCACCAGAAAATGTTATGAATTATTGACTTGATAAAGAATTGATAAAATCAGTGGTGGACAAAATGACTTCTCAGTATGATGTCATAAACTGCATATTGTGTCTTATTAATCTTATTAACATGTCTGTATGTTGTACCACTGTTATACATAATAATGAGTGAGAGGTGCGAGGCGTTATGGTAATTATAATGAATGAGAGGTGTGTGGGGTTATGATGTGTAGTGAGAGATATGTGGGGTTATGGTAACATTGTGTAGTAAATGAGAGATATGTGGGGTTATGGTAACATTGCGTAGTAAATGAGAAGATATGTGGAGTTATGGTACTGTAAGTGAATGAATCTGATTAGTAAAATCTGTTACAATACAACAAACGCAATGCAAAACTCAGTTCACAGGTGGATGAATAATATCTTTCAGGTACAGTCACAGCTTTACTGATTTCAGCTGCTCCATACATGAAGGTCAACACGGTTATCATGAAGCCCTGTTTACCCTCTGAAGAATTACTTTCCATCCAGTACTAACTAGCGTCACACAAGGAAACAAAGTGCTTGGAAATTTAAAGATATTAACATTTTTCTTATATTTTAACTAACTATATTATTATTATTATTATTATTATTATTATTATTATTAGTAGTAGTAGTAGTAGTAGTAGTAGTAGTAGTAGTAGTAGTAGTAGTAGTAGTAGTAGTAGTAATAGTAGTAGTAGTGGTAGTAATAACAGTAATAGTATTACTAGTAATAGTAGTAGCTGCAGAACTAATCGCCGAATGAGTTGCTTTAGCACTGAACTGCGAGGAAATAGTTTGAATCCAAATGGCATCAGGCCGCAAGCAGTGAAGAAAAAACACACGTTGGAGAACAAGTTTAACGATAAAGTCAGACATGTGATGAAACTCTACTCAGGGCGTAACGTTGTTAAACTAAAAAAAAAATAGTGTGTATTTTCACAGGAATTACCTTAAGTATCTGTAAATTGCAGCGGATACTAAATGCAGATTTTTAGTTACAAACAAGTAACTATATGTACTTTGAATCTTGTAACATTATTAAGGTTAACTCTTAAATGTATTTACGCAGATACGTATACATATATGTATGTATACGCTAGTATAAGCATCTCACAGTTAATATACGTTAAGCGGTATAATGTGTATATACTATTTAAGTAATCTGTTTATCAACATCATAACTACTTAACGTGAGACATTATGCACACTTTAAACTCCAACAAAATGAATCAGAGATCAATTTAACTCATTAATGTAACAAAAGGGAGGTTTTGAAGACCAGATATCTATTATATGTTGGGAAAGCAACGTCTTTCCTCCACTCATCCTCCTGTGTATAGGGAATCCTTGTTTTGTGTGTTGTTGGACTGTGGGGAGAGAGAGAGAGAGAGAGAGAGAGAGAGAGAGGAGAGAGGAGAGAGAGAGAGAGAGAGAGAGAGAGAGGAGGGGAGAGGGAGAGGAGAGGAGAGAGGAGAGAGAGAGAGAGAGAGAGATAGAGAGAGAGAAAAGAGGGGAGGAGAGAGAGAGAGAGAGAGAGAGAGAGAGAGAGAGAGAGAGAGAGAGAGGGCACCATCACCTCCATCATAATTCGTAGCTAGTGACACAGTTAGTTGTCTCCTTAAACGACGATAACCAGCATCAATTACCTTTCATTTGGACCTTAGCAGATATCACCAACCTCAATTATAAGAGAAGGTGGAATTACATCGAGGAGCACTACCACGCTCCTCTGTGATTATGCTTCTATGAAATGTTCTTCATCTGTAAGTCAGCCAGTAATAGGCTGCAAAAATAAACACAACAATTAATGTGTTACGAGAGAGCTTCTTGACAACCAGAAATTAATGAACAATATCTCATTGCCCTCAATTCGAAACCATGCTAAACATAGATAGAAAAGCGTGTTGCCAACAGTAAAGAAGAAAATGCTTAGGTGGCGAACAAGCTTTCATTGTAAACTATATCAGTCCAGTTGATTCGATAACTCTCTAAATAGAAAGTTACCTTTTCAGTGTGCAGGTTTGCCTGCAACCGCGTCTTGCAATAAGTTTTGCTTTAAGTCTTGCTATAAGTCTCATATAACTTTTTGACTTTCGCTTCCTTATAGTTTAAATCACTTACAATATTCTTGGCTATTGACATAAATACAATGTTAACTGCTTACAATCAAATTTAAATAAATGTAATGCCAGATATACCTCAGGAATCCTATAATAACTGGTTTGCGTTTTTGACAATAATGTTGTTGCAAGAAATATAAGTGAAACGTTTGCGTAACTTAAGTTTATGAATATAAATAAAAAAATCATAAATGATAACGTTTGACCAATAACATATCAATTTTGTTTCAGGTACTTGTTTCGTTGTTTGCTGCGGCGTCTGCCGACTCCCTCAAGACCTATGGTCTCCCTTCACATTCTGGAATAGGTCACTCCTTAGGGGCTTCACGAGTCTCCAGTGGTGCTGGCTTCTCTGGTGGCTTAGTCTCTGGTGGTGTTGGTTTATCTGGCGGATTAGCCTCTGGTGGTGTTGGCTTATCTGGGGGCTCTGGGTTCACTGGCGGCTCTGGGTTCTCTGGTGGTGCAGGATTTACTGGTGGTGCAGGATTCGCTGGTGGTGCAGGATTCGCTGGTGGTGCAGGATTCTCTAGAGGTGCAGGATTCACTGGTGGGGTAGGCCTCTCTGGCGGTGCTGGGTTCATTGGAGGTGCCTGTGGAAATGGACAGGTCCGTCATGTGGATGGAGGCTGCGTGACTCCTCACGTCACCAGAAACTTGTACGTGTACAGTGCTCCACCACTGGCTCCAATCGTAGGACCACCACCAATTGTTCCTCTACCCAAGATAGAACAAAACGTTTTATTCATCCGTTCACCCGATGTTGACATAGCTCAAGACCCCATTATTGTTCCACCCCCACAAACGAAAAATGTTGTGTACGTCCTCAACAAGCGACCTGAACTGGACCAGAAGGTCATCCACCTCCCAGCACTTGAGCAACAAACTCCTGAAGTGTTCTTCGTCAACTATGCCGAAGGTGATAACCCGACTTTGCCCACAGGAGAGGACCTCCAGTCTGCTCTCAGCTCCGCCGCTCATGGTGGTGGTGGAGTTATTGGTACCGCTGGTGGCATTGGCGGTGGCTTTGGAGGCGGTATTGGAGGCGGCGTTGGAGTCGGCGTTGGGAGTGGAATTGGTGGCGGCGTTGGAGTTGGCATTGGAAGCGGCATCGGAGGTGGTGTTGGGGGTGGTGTCGGAGTCGGCGTTGGAGGAGTTGGAGGCGGCATTGGAGGTGGCATTGGAGTCGGCGTTGGAGGAGTTGGAAGAGGCGTTGGAGGCGGCGTTGGAGTTGGTATTGGAGGCGGCAGCGTCGGTGGGTTTGGAAGTGGTATTGGTGTAGGATCTGGCATAGGCATTGGAGGAGGATCTGTGAAGCACAGTGGCTTCAGTGTTACCACCCCGTCTAGTCTATATGGCGCGCCATAAACGACACAAGAACACCTTTTTCTTCAGCAGAGGCTTCCACATTGCTGGACGGAATAACTTATCAATTTCATATGATTTCCAGCTTTGCAAATTCTCTTGCTCTTCATAACCTATATTTATTATATCCAAATAATGGATTTATATATTTCATGACAAATTCAGGTATCTGCCATTGTAAACCAAGGCTATATCAATTATATTCTTAATTTATGTTATTGTTTGATTCTTTCCTGGAACTTTAACCCAAATGTTGGTCATAAGGAAAATATTAACTGGAATCAGTAACAGTTACAAGACGTCCATCACTCTTGTACTTCAGGAAGGGAGAAATTTATTTTCTCGTAAAAGATCAGTAGTAATAGAAGCTTAATGGCATAATTATAGTCTTGCACGGTATCCAGTATGCATTAAATTCCTTCATCCGCACATGTTAGAATATCTCGATGGTTACATAAAATTTAATAAGAAAAGATATTCAGCTGTATGAGATAACTTATCATAGTCTGCAGAAGTGCCATTTTCTGGCTGAAATATTTCTACAAGTACATGTGCAAGATATATAGGCCTAGCTGACATCAATTGCATACTACTATATAGAAAGCCCCTTGCTATGCAGAGCATCTCGGGCAAAGCAGGTCACTTTCGTCCCCAGTATGCGACCTGCACAAGTCGACTAACACCCAGGGATGGGTGAACATGGACAACAGGTGTCTTATGGAAACACGTCCTAATGTTTTTCAACCCTACCGGGGGATCGATCGCACGACCTCAGTGTGTGAGCTGAGTGTAATAGCGATCGAGCTAACTATTATTGTTTTAGAAAAAGAACCAGTGTGAGTAATATAATGCACAATCTGACCTGTGAATCAACTGTGAGATCCAATCTAATCTACGCAATTAATGAAAGAACGTGTTGGTATAGGAAATCAACAAAAGTAAAACACGTTAAGTGCGATAATTCACTCTGGTACAAGCAAATTGCTTTCTAGCAACACTCAGGGACACACGAGAAGTTCAGAAAAAAACTGTTCAGGAAGACTAGGATAGTCAAGAGTCATTTAGGAACAAATGGATATGCAAGAACTTTTTAAAAACACGTGAATAAAAGCCGTTCAGAAACATTCGGACACAAAATAGCCGTCCAGTCCAGCAACACATGAAAAATTTAACAAGAAATGTGTCGTAGTGTTCAGATACACAAGACCTGTTTAGAAACAGTCAGAGACAAATATGTGAAGTACAATTGTAAATATAAATGCACAGTGAGAACTCAAATGAAGAGTATTTGATGCAGTTGTACAAATGTTTTCATATTAAGTACAATTATGACGTGCAATTGTAAATAGAATTTATGTCATGTGTAACTGTGGAATGCGGTAACACAGAAAAATATCGTATGAAGTGTAGTTGTGAAGTACGAGACGTCGATAATAGTAGAAAGGCAACTCAGTAATTTTTTTTTTTATATTTTATTTAAAACATTGCACAATTACAAGGAGGTATAAAAATATAATAAAATGAACCTGATACTGATTATGAACAATAAAACCAAAGTATCACAGCCCCAATACAGAAAATAAACACCATACATAATGCAGTATGACACCCAAAAATACAACTCGCAACATATCATTCAAAATTCCGGCATTATACAAAATATTACTATTGCCTTTGCTGACACAGCTGACGTTTCTCCCCCCCCCACACACACATTAAAATTATACCCCCATTCACCAATCTGAAGAATCATAATATTAATTCAACTTAAATTTCTGAACATATCCTGAACTCGTCAGTAACTTAAGTAATAAGTATTTACAAACATTGGTGGTACATGAACACCAAAATCACAAAACATTAAATTACAACCTATTAACAAAATGTGAACATTACAATCCTAAACACTTGTACATTCGCTGCCTGACCACGGTCGAGTGAGGTTGTGCGCTGCACCCCTCTGCTGTTCAGGCGAGCTACCTTGTATCAACATGGCGCTGAGTGTGAGGAGGCGCGTAAATACCATTGGTATTGAGCTGCTTCGTGGGGCGATTTCACCCTCTTCAGTGCAAGTCTTACTCCCAACAATCATTAGGGAGACCTATGGAATCCAGGACGATGAGGTGTATGGTGTAGCCCTGAATGGGGCTTATAGAATCTTGTCAAATAAATTTCCCAGTCCGTGTTGAGTTTTGGTGAGAGTTCCAAGGGCGTGAGTCTTGCGTACTCCGCTGTAAAGGGTGCTTTGATCGATATCTCGCCCTTTTGGGGGTTTAGATCGTAAGCCCTTTGGGGGCGTGAGGTGACAAAGGAGTGTTTTTGAGACTAGGAACCTACATCTGGCAAAAAAAGGGGGAAGGGAAAGGGCAGGTGTTACATGGGCGCCCGGGAGGGTACCTTTTCCCTGAAGATGACTCTGAGAATCCCATACCGTCTTAGTCGTGTTGGGGACTTCAGGACGCAAGTTTATGGTTTTGTATGCCGGACAGAGAGTAGTGCAGAATATGGGGGCGTACGACCATATGGGGCAGAGTGCGTAAAGTAGGGGGGCGCCAGCGAAAAAGGGTGAAGCCCCAGTCCCAGCGTGATAGTGTTGAGAGCCCGGGGCGCAAGCAAGGGGCCTGGGCGCTTTGGAGTGAAGAGGGGGGTTCCAAAGAGGGAATGGAAAGGTGTGGGGTAAGCTGTGTTAAAAAGGATTGTTCCCAAACAAAGGAAAAGTCAGAAGTGCAAGTGAGGGGAGGTGCAGGCTCTAAGGAAGAGCTTCGGAAAGGTTAAGACATTGACCCCGCCTGCAGTGGATGTTGTTCCTGAGCTGGTGAGAGAACGGCGGTGTGAGAGGAATGTAAGGATAAAAAACATAGCAGGGTTGACGGGCCAACAGTAAGAGAGGTTGTCCCCGGTGCGGGAAGGGGGCGTGGTGGAGGTAGAGGTTCATCGTGAGGGAACTCTAAAGAAAAACATGGATGTGGAGGGCATCACGGGGGGGAAGAGAGCGGCGGCGTCAGACTCGATGATGTCCTGACCCCGGGCGAGGGGTCTGGGGGAAGGAAAGCAATGTCGAAGCATCACGTAGGGGCATCGCAAAAAAGGGGAGGGGTTGATGTGGAACCCTTGTGCTGGCTCTGGGGCGGGAGGCCCGGGGATGAATGAAAGAGGGGGGAAAGGGTTGGAAACTTAAAGGGGCCCTTAGGTTTTGTGAAAATGTAAATGGACTGTGAATAGTGTGAAAAGGAATGGTTTCGATTTTTTCTGTATAAATAGGGGGTGGATGTAGTGTTCCTGAAAGAACACAATTTCAAGGAGGGAAGAGTGCTCGAGGGAGGGTTTTTCTGACCTCCCATCGCACTCGAAAGGTGGTGGGGGTATATTGACAGGGGGGCAACCCGTTTGTGTTGCAAAAGAGGGGGGGGGGGGGGGGGGAAGAGTATTGCGCGTATGGGGGTGGAGGGACAAGGGGTTACTTTTGTATGTGTTATGCCCAGCGGAAAATGAGTGGGGGTTTTAAAAAAAGGGGATTTTGTATGGGAACTAGTTTTCTTTTCGGGGTTTTTCCCTGCATGGCCGTCGTTGGTGGCGACTGGAACGCGTTTTAGGAGGGCTGACGTGGAAAAAAAGGGGGGGGGCACGTGTCGGCGGCCTTGCGAGATTTTTGAGGGATTTCATTTGCGGGGGAAGGGTTTTGGAGGAGGGGCGGGGGGGTGAGCACATTTTTGTAAGGGGGGTTACGCTGCTAGGTTGGATAGGGTTATATCTAAAGGGGGGTTGGGTTGTTTTTTTCCGTACAATGAAGTAGTTATTGGGATATCGGGGGGTATAGCAGAGGTGGCTGGGAATAGAGTTTTCTGGGGGATATTGGAAAAAAATAAAAGTGGTTGGTGTGAGGAGGGGATGAGGGGATTTGCAACGCTGTGGGGGGGGTTTTACGTGCAAGTAAAAGGGGGGTAAGGATGTGGTGATGTGGTGGGTGGTGTGGTAAAGAACGGATTAAGCAATATTACGTAAAGGAAGGGAAACGTATCAATTCTTTAAAATAGGGTTTGAAAAATATTTGGAGGATGTTTACGGGGTTGTTAGCGAGGGGGGCGGTGGGGGCACTTATCAATGGATGAAATTATGGCAATTAAAGGGACGCTGAGGTACAGGATGAGAGGTTCAAGCGGTGGGGGTACGGCGGGGGGGAAAGGGTTTATGGGGCGATGACCTTCACGTGCGTATTGCGTAGGCAAAAAACAAAGACAGCAGGCAATGACTATTCCAGGGTTTGGAGGTTCATAAATCGATAGGGGGTCAGGGAGGGTCGGTCATAAAAGCTACGGAAGGAATGGGGCGTTTGCTGACAATGGTATGGAAGTAGGCAACGAAAGGGGTAAGGATGGGTTTTAGAACGGGTGTGGGGTGGGGTTGTCATTTGGAAACGTGTAGGAAGCACTGGGTGGGGAAATAATGAGGGGGAAATTGGAGGGCTTTAATGGAATGCGAAAGGGGCAAAGCCCCGGGAATTGATGGACCCCCGGCAGAGTTTTTATCAGCAGCTTTGGAAAATTTTTGAGGCATTTTTGGTTAGGTTATTAAATTGCATGAAGGGAGGAAGGGGTGAGCTGGGTGAAAAGCAGGCAACGGCTTCGTTGTATTGGTCCCAAAGGGTAAGGGGCAGATACGCTTGGGGATTATGGGCATCTCGTTTTTAGCCAGATTAAAATTTTTGCAAAAGTTTTTGGGGAAATGGGGTCAAGTGTGTGGTAGGGGGGGTAGTATCAAAAAATCAGTTTGGTTCCCAGGGGGGTTTAGGTGGAGGGGAGGGTTATTGGGTTTTCGTGGAGGAAAAGGGGGGGGGAGGGGGGAGGTTTTGGTGGCGTCGTTGGCAAGGGGCATACGATAGAGGGTCGGAAAGATGAAAGCCATCCTCAGGGGTCAGGGTTTTTGGGGAAAAATTTGGGTGGCGGGGTTTGAGGCTTTGTATGGAGGTGCAATGCAGGGGGTACAGTTTAAGGGTCGTTTGGGGGAAAGATTGTAATGGGTAGGGGACTTAGGGGGGGGTGTCCATGTCACAATTTTGTTTGGTGCGTAAGGACCCCTTTTATGATTGAGGAGCAGCGTAGTGTCAGAGAGGGACCAGGGGTGTGGGTTTGCGAGGGGTTTGGGCCTTTTTTAAATTGGGGGATTGGATGTACAACGTTCTGATTTGGGGGGGATGTCAATGGACCATTAGACGGG